ATGTTCATATGTTTGGTTTTACCAATTGCGATTTCTGTATCGTTCCTACAATATTGATTGCAACAATCTATTCCAAATGATAGGAATCAATTCCGATTTAGATTTAGGTTCCGATATTTGAAGCGTTGAATCACAATTCTGATTTCAATTTATTCTGATTTCTATTTCGTTTTGAAGCTTTTGTTCCGATGACTGTTCTGATTTTGGGTTTCAATTCCGATTTCGTATTCAGTAAATCTCAAGAAACAGATAACTAAAATCTGGGAGTTTGGATACGAGTTCATTGTACTCTTCACTTCCTTTTTTCATCTCAAACTGACCACGAAATCTCAAGAAACAGATAGCTAAAATTTAGGAATTAGCAACGAAATAGGGAGGAAGAAGACTTGGAGCAAGCAGAAGTCAACAGCAGCATCAAAGATATGGAAAGAATTGTAAAATTAGCTGACCTGATAACCAATTAAGTTTGGATCGATTCTTAAACAAACAACTTTAGTCAAAAGGGGATTAAAATGGAATATGGTTGATGTTTCAATGGAAGAAGATGAAATTCCTATAAGCTAATTTTGTTGCCCACCAAGTGTTTGATAAAATGCCCAAACCAGTTTTTCTCTTGTTGCAGCCTTATTGTTCAAGATAATGTAGTTTGCTTAGTTTGGATGCTCCTTGTGCACACCAACAGCGTATTGGTGTGCCATTTCCTTCCCATCCTTGTTAATTATTGCTTCATAGCTTAAGCTTCATCTTGTGGATTGTTCTCTTGTATGGCTTCTTCTTCTACAAGCTCGAGTGATATTTGTATGTGCCCGTTCAGAAGCTTCCATTGTTTCCCAAATGGTGAAGTGGGAAGTAAGGGGATTGGCCATATGATTTCACACATAAAAACCCATCATCTACCTACTGAAGATCGTAAATGTGTTTTACGTGAAGCTCTTTCTAGTGATGTTGGCTTATTTATGGCAATGGAACAAACTTTGAAGGTCTTTGGTCAATGGATGTGTGGGAAGTGTATGGCTTTGCATGCTCTTAGCCGTTATTGTCATCACCCGGATGGTCGTGCGAGGTTTGTTATAGGGGCTGACGGCTCGAGTCGGTACATCGTCGGTGTTTTAAATTCGTCTACTAAAGAGTCGGTGACAAACGCTCGTGGAGGTTTGATTTTTGATGTTGGGCTCCTTGATCGTGTTTTTAAAGCGTCTATCACTACTGTCAAGAGTATCCCCCATAGTGTCCGCCTTGCTTTCTCTCAGGCTTTGAAAACTACTCTTTACAAGGTGATTGCCCAGCCTGGCTCGGTTGATGCTTAGATTTAGGGGTGGAAATTATTTGGTTCGGAACTGAAAAACCCGAAAAACAAATCGAACCGAAATCGATTTCAGACCGAACCATATTCAAACTCAGTTTTTGGTTTGGTTTGAGACCAAACCGAATTGTAAATTTGGTTTTTGATTTGAGTTTCGGTCTTATGAAGTTTAAACCAAACCGAACCGAAAAACCGAATTTCATAAATCAATTAATTCAAAAATATATTTTATATTTTATATTAAATAGAAGTATTAATTATAAAGTAAAAATCATTTTAACCCATTTAATCTTTGGATCATTTTGTATGAAACTTTAGATCTTTCTGTTTGTAACTTTAGGTTTCTATGTTAAAAACATTTTAAT